TTTTCAGTACAAATCGGCAATTTCATACTTTAACCCCTATTATTAAATCAGATTGTGTAGGTAAGCACTTTGTTCTTGAAGGGAACTAAAATATTTAAAAAAAGATCTCAAAACTTCGTGGAACTACATCTATTTGCCAAGTTTTATTGAAATCGGTTAACGGAAATTGGATGAAACCGGTCCCATCCCCAAATTGGCCACCTTTAAGAGTGTTAGCGCACTACGTCCGATTCGTATCAGGGGGGTACTCTCGATCTCCGTCCGACATCCGTCCGAAGCAATTACTGTCAAATAAGTAATATTCGACAAAATTAAAAGACAAGTATCCAGTACGAAGCTTCATTCGTATCACGCGTCTTTTTATTTGGTCAAGTATTGCTTATTTGGCAGTAATTGTTTCGGACGGATGTCGGACGGAGATCGAGAGTAGACCCCCAGTTCCGAATCCGAGAAATGTCGGTCCGAAATGTCACAAGCATCATTTTATCTCTAGGTGCACAAGCGATACAGGTGCACTAACGACATTCGAAGTGGGACCGCGTTTTTTAGGTATGTATAGTCTCGGATTAGGAACGAATACGAATCGGATGCAATGCACAAACGCGCTTCCTCCCACTATTTTCTAGTCGTTTATTAAAATAAAGTACAACTAAACCACGTTTATTCCCTATTTCAGTTATACATTGTAATCAAAATGAAAGCTCTCCAAATCCTCATGCTGATGGCTGCAATGATAGCTTTGGCATCATCAGCAGCGGCTGGTGAAGACTTCGGAGACATCGAGAACATAGATTTTGAAAAGGTAATGAACAATGAAGCCTCCTGGAGGACCATCTACGAGTGTCTTATGGATAAAGCTCCTTGTGGTGATTTTCAGAAGTTGAGAGGTAAGCTTAATAGGCTTGTTTTCGCTTGGTTTGTTCAAGTTCGAAAAATTGTACGTTGAGTTATTATATACAAATCAATATTATGATACATGTATGAATACTCGTTCAGTCTTATTGAATTGTGTCAATGAGTAGTTTGCTGCCGTTCGTACGTATACTACAAAATTATACTTGAAACGGAAAAAAAAACCACCTGCTTATATTAATTTGAAAATAATTTAAGGACTAAAATATATACTCAAGGATTTTGGTAGTTGCTGTTAAAGCATTATAATAGGATTGTATTAAAAAAGTCATAAGTAGAAAGAAATTTTAGGAAAGCCTAAAAGTTTCATCGACTATTTTGCAAACTACAATTACATTACCCTTACCTACTAAGAATTTGTTACGTACGAAATGGTCGTAGTCGGTGTTACGAATTGAACAGACATAAATTAGAAGTAATGTTTAGCGAAAAAAAGACACACAATTTAAATAGAGATAAAAAGAGATCTTGCATTGCCGAGTACGAGTCTCTTCCAGACAAATAGTTTTATCACTTTGGTTCATGCGGTTTTTTGATTTAACATGTCTTTATAGAATTTTGTGAACCATTAATGAAATAAATATTTCCATATGTTTTAAAAAAAACTATTGCTAATAAATAACGCTTTAGTAAGAAAATACCTACTTATACTCTGATAACATATTTCGTTTAATATCACAGCTACATTCCCGCAAATAGTGGAAACAAAATGCGAGCAGTGCACGCCTAAACAAAAGGAGAAGTTGGAACAAATCGTTCAAATTGCCGCCGTGAAGTATCCCAAGGAGTTTCAAGAAATCACTGACAGATACAAACCCAAAAGTGAATAAGTCTAATCAGTTAATACTTTGAATATTATTTTGTTAATTAATATATCTATGTAGCTTATGTATTTATTAAGTGTTTTTGATCCTTTTTTTATCAGGCGTTTCTACGAAACCGTCTGATCACTTTGAGCTTCGTAATAAAATTGTAAGTATAGGAGCTGGTGGCTTTGAGTGAAATGAGGGAAGGCTGGTATAACGCTGATTTATTGAGAATAATATGAGTATACATATTGTACGCATACATCTACACTACACCTTCCTTGGAGGGAAAAAAATAAAATAAACATGGTTGTCTTATTTTATTTCTACTCTCCGATATTTTCCTCTTAACTAAACGTATAAACCTATAAGAATATTAAAATAGTAAAAATATAAACCTATTTGAAATTACATAGTTATCATAAGATTGTACATAGTAAAATATAAGAAATGGCTCATTATTACACAATGACTTCCGACTTACGAGTAACATTTGCTTACGAGTATATGGTTACAATTATTAAATACAATTACTAAAAATACTATATAATTGGTTTCAATTAAACTAAAGTATTACATATTATATATGTTACATATTATATGGTTTGGAGCGGTTTTTATGCACGATATCTTCTCTTCCGTTTCTCATTATCTTTACATTACTACCTAAATATTGCAAGATTAAAAATGGACCTAAATAAACACTATCTAATTTACCTCCAGTTTCGTTTTTTAGTAACAGATACATACCTTTCGTATACTGAACTGAATTTATTTTACAGTCGTAGGCTAGTTTTCACTTCACCACATCACATTAAGTTACTCCTGGCATCGTATTGGAGTCTGTATTTGAACTCGACAGGATAGCTGTCGTAGTTATACATAGGGTCTATTACGCCACCTGTGAAATTATTTGGTAATATGCATGGCTTACCAAATACCAACCAGCTCATGTGGTGTGTATTTTGTTTCGCCGTGAACCGTATTATAGTGCGCAAAACACCAGTAAGGAAACCAGCTGCTCCACGATGGTGACGTTTTTCGCAATTAATGCGCAAATACGCGCCCATTGTCTTGTGCGTATTTTCTAGAGCTCCCATTGACTCGTGGTGATACGCAGTCGATGTTCTGTGCCACGATCTGTTGCTATTTCCCGCGGTATCCCAAATCGTATAAATATGTGCTGGGTCTAAACCCAGCACATATTTATACGGTACACTTCATGTGTACCCCAAGGTACACATGAAGTTTGGTCCAATGTTCAAAAAATGAACCCTGGACACTGCCAGCGATAATACTCACGATGCTGTTACCGCTGCCATGCACTCTGCGCATCAAGGATGCCACTCTCTTTCTCATGATGGCTGCAAATCCGTCCACATGATCATCGGCGAACATTCCTGACGCTCTACAGAATCGTGGTATCTGCAACAACATCCGGAATATATTATTGTAAACAACTCTTAGACAAAGATCGGACACTCAGAAAAAACACTCAGAAAAACTTAACTGGTAGCTGTAAAGGTACTAACTGGGTGATAAATCTGTCATAGATTTCTCATAGATGGCGAAATGAAAGACCAAGTACAAAGACACAACGCAAGCACATAGAAAAATTCGTGAGGTCCGTTGGTTCGTTCCGTGGCTTAGTTGGTATAGCGTCTGACACGGTATGCAAGAAGACGTCGGTTCGAATCCGACCGGATCGAAGGAATTTTTTCTGAGTGTTCGATCTTTGTATTAATAATTATAACAAACTAGTGGAGTAATTTCACAAAAAATAACTGAATATCAATTCAATAAAAATTTAATTAACTCTGAGACACCTCAGGTTTTCGCGATTGTTACACATAGGATATGAAACTATTTTTCCGGATTTAAATCGCGTATATTTGTTTTTTCAAACAAACCAACGCTTACATTTAATATTAGACATAACTGGTTGAAGACTGTACCACCTCAGTCAACCGTGACCATGGGACCTGTAAAGGGCCCGAAACGTCGGTTTGTTTGAAAAAACAAACACGCGATGTAAATCCGGAAAAATAGTTTCATTTCCTAACTCTTAGAGAGCTGAGAGCTTTCCGAGTGTAGTTGATCCATAGGATGCAGGTATAAAAGGTCTAAGTATAAAAGGCAGTAAGCTTTAAAAAGAGATACCTTCTCGTTGTCGATACACCTTGCAAACCTACGGACCAACATGTTGCCCCGCACGGCTAATGCCCTACGCTCTCTCTCAATATCAGTGTTATCCTCCAAGGACTCACTGACCCAATGCCCAAGGTATCTAAATTTAGTGACCCTGTTAAGAGGAGTGCCACACAACTTAACTTCGGGGACACAATTATCGCTTTTGCTACCCGCCTTGAATACAGGCAACTCACTCTTAGCCGCATTGTACCGTAAGCCATGGATCTCAGCATAGCGCTCACATAATGCAACTAGTTTTCTTAATGCACTTATTGATGGACTCAGCAACAACATTCGCGTAGATAATATTATTTACAATCTGTCCATCCAAAGAGCATACGATTTCGGTGTTGCAGAGTTCAACAATTAAATGCAGGTTGAAGAGACTTGGCGAGCTCAATCCCCCCTGTCTCATGGTGCACTCCAACCCGTACACGCCCGACGTCGCGCCTGCTCATCTAACAAAGTTGCGTTAGTTGTTGTAGCAAAACTTAAAAATACAAACTATATCACCTGGGAGATCAGTTTTTTTCTGTAGCTTACTCCACAACTCATCATATGATACAAGGTCAAAAGCTTTGGATAGGTTGAGGAAGCGAGCATAAACAGGAGTTTTTTTCGAGGTATAATACTGGACAGTGTGCTTGACGCAAAGGATAGCAGCTTCTATTGAAACTCCCGGGGGAACTCAAATTGAGCGTCATGCAATTTCAAGTGCTTCCTTAATTGCTTGTCAAGCAAACTGTCCAGTAATTTTTCTATTATAGTAGCCAGGGATATAGGTCAATAGTTGCTAATACTAGAGACATCACCCGTCCTGTTCTTCACAATAGGGACAACAACAGTTTTCATTAAGTCTTGCGGCAAGTATGAATGCCCTACACATAATGTGAAGAACAAGGCGAGCACTCTAGGTAAGTGAACACTTCCATGTTGCAAGTGCTCTATGCTAAGTAAGTCATGTCCCGGGGACTAGCCGCGTGTCATTCCCCTAATAGCATTCGCAACCTCCTTTGCCGTGGAGTAGACCTGTTGGGGTTTCCCTATATCTTCCATACTCCGAGACTGACACACCGCAGGCCCATGGAACTTGTCAACTTATCGACTCATCCGTAGATCCGTATTCTGTGCATCATTGTTTTTTACTGCTCGGATGTGTTCCTTCATACGATCGACAATTGTTCGTTTAGTCTGACCGATATACGAGCTCCCACAACTGCAGTTTACTTTATAGACACCCGGTGTTTGTAAAGGAAGGTGGTCTTTTGGTGAACGTAACATTTTTCCTATTTTGGATAAGGGGGTGAAAACAGTTTTTATGGAAAACTTCCTTAGCAACCTGGCTATTTTATCTGTCACCCCTTGTACATAGGGCAGAAAAACTGGCAGTCTCTGTACGTCAGTTTGCTTCTTCCTTTTGTGTATTGGTTTAAATGTACAGAAAACCAACTCACACGGACAAATATTTACATGCCACTTCACATCATCACCCAAACTAAACTAAATAAATAAAAAATATATATTAAAATCGATAACTTACATTATCTGCCAAGTATAGGGTAGATGAAATTTGTTAACGCTACATAAAATTTACTATAGTATATTTCATTAATATAATATTGAATTTTAACGAAAATGGGCTTTTAGAGATTATACTACAGCACTTAAAATTTTTATTACGTTTGCAATCAGCTAGCATACGTATGGCACTAAACCACAGACGGACAGAACAATGGTGGTTACTTATTAGCTTAGTTATACAAGTTCCATTGTTAAAATTTCTTTAAATAGTTCAAGTCTACTTTGATTTCGATGCCTATGGTTAACAGCTGCTGAACAAAAATTATGGATTCCAAGTATTTAACTGTGTTAACAATATTAGCTGTGTTAAGTCAAATTCATTGCAAAATTCGCAACTATGATGATTTTGATATTGAAGCCATGTTGGGGAACCCGAGTAGATCGAAAAAGTTTTTCGAGTGTGTAAGAAACGATGCTGCTTGTACTATTGAAGACAAGGACATGAAACGTAAGTGACTGACCATTTCATCATCACTTCACATGTGACGCATTAAAGTATAATATACTATTAAGAAGACGCCCGTCTTCAGACTAGAAGCTTGTAGAACCACTACAGTGGCAGACAGTCGTGTGTCTGTGGCGCTTCAGTAATTTTTAGTTGAATTATTGTGAAAGCAATAGTGGCGAGTGCGTGTCATGTCGTTTGTGTCGCTGTATCTGCGCTTCTAAATATTGTATGAAATTTAGTAGTTGTGCGGTTGCAGCGCCACAGTGGCGCCACTGCCGCGCTACAAGCGTCATACTTGAATGTTCCTTTAAACGCTAAAGAAATGACGTGGGGATCCATTTTCTAAGGGAAATTTACAGTTGAAAAAAGCGTGTGGTTCCTTATAGCACCACTCTACGATCACAGGTGACGCCACAAACACGGTGACTCACTAAAGTATAATATACTGTATAATACGAATATAGCAATGAATAAAATAACGATGTGCGGTTCAATTTCCAATGGGAAAAATTATGTTTCGAACAAACCGGGTAATTTTTCATACGAGAGGATACAATGATAGAAAACGGCACATATGTGCGCCATTTGTACAATGAAGAAACAAACTAAACACACTTGTATTCGTTCCGAATCCGAGACTATGTAAATCTAGAAAACTCGGACCCACTTCGGATGTCGCTTGTGCACTAAGTCCAATTCGAATCCGAGGAAATACGAATATCGCTTGTACACCCAGAGATAAAATTATCCCTGTGATATTTCGGACCGTCATTTCTCGGATTCGGAACTAATACGACTCAGACGTAGTGCGGACGCTCTTACAGTGCCTCTATTATGACATTACTGCCTCCGTGGCCGAACGGTTACCATGCCGGACTGCCACGCAGAGGTCCTAGGTTCGATTCCCGGGCCGGGAGAAATATTTGTATGGCTTACATTTATTTCTCTCGTGAGTTTGGGTGTAATTTGTGTTTGTCTATGTATGTGTCCATGGCACCCGCGACACAGGGTTTCCCTAGTGCGGGGCTATGTTGAGTGTGTGCGTTATTATTATTATTACAGTGACAGTTATCGTTAGCGCTCGCATAAAACATTTGTATACAAAATGTTCTTTCACCACTAGGGGCGCTGTATAATTTGCCATATAAAATTGTGAAATAATTTACGCGGTCGCTAGCGACAACTGTCATATCGACTCCTCCTACGTAAAGTATCGCATGTCGAAATTGCCAAGTTTAGAAGGGAGCGTTAAGTTTTGAATTCACTAAAATGATTGAAATGATGAGTATAACACGTGACTTTATCCTAGAAATGCTAAATTAAATTGTAAAATGATAAAATAAATTGTGGTTGTTCATCTAACTGATACCTAGGATTTTATAATCTCTGTGTGAGTTTTGCCATAAAAAATTAAGAAATAAAGTGACGTGTTCTGCTCATTCCAGTGAATTCAAAACTCTAAAACGTTCCCCTGCAAACTTGGCAATTTTGACATACGATAGTTTACATAGGAGGGGTCGATATGTCATATGTGTCTCGTGGTAGAGAATCGAGTATATAACCAGAAATGGAGACAAAATAAGGGCCATCCATCCCTGGCAGCTCATCAGATAAATGAGCCTTATATCGCTTTTAAATATCAACTCTTGTTTGCGCAGAATTCACAAATGAAAACTGAAATAATATATTCCAAAAATATTCTGTATTTATTGTAATAAAGATAATATCGCTAATAATGGAGGCTGTTCCATTCGGTGGTGTGGGAAAAACAGCAAAACATTTAATTACAATACATGTGGAAAATAAATGTGTAATTTTGCAATTATCATCCATTATAGCAAAGCTCAAGTTAAACTGGTCGATTTGAAGTGAAACAATTGACTTTCGAATTCGGGCTGGCCAATCGGAATGCAGTTGTCACAGTAATGATTTGGCAGAATAGTTTTCAAACAAATTAAATGACATTTCGTCTCTATTTCTGGTTATATACTTGATGTGGTAGAGATAGAGGATACAAATGCAAAGGTCGTATTATTTTTGATGCTGCCCTCCTTATTTTATCTAACTTAATCGTCATTTTTAACGAAATAGAGTTATTAATACCCTGGAATAAGCGAAACGAGATTTACAAACCTCTTAAATCGATTTTTTTATATCTTATTTAGTTCCCGTTTTACTGTTAAGTAAAATCAGCGTAATTGATATTTTTTACCAGCAAAACAAAGAACTTTAAGTGCTAATATCTCGAAAGTTACCAAAATACAAATGCGTTAATTATGACAATGAGGGATATATATATGACAAGGATAGTTATTTGGATTATTTACTTCTATAACAACTAAAAATTATGTATATAAATATTTAGTTTGTGAATTCACCATTTTCATCGTAAAAATTTTAAGAGGCGCCATCAATAACTTGTTAAAAATAAAAGTAGTAATATTCAAAATTTTGACATGCTCCCATACATATGATGTGACACTCGTACCACACAACAGCATTTGTCAACTAATTTTTTCTTATTATTTAATAAGTTTGTAATTATATCTTTTAATGTCAGCTGGTGACCTTAAATGACCTAACATCCGTATAAACGAACTTATCCATTTCAGATGATCTGACCGAGATGCTCGTCACATCATGTGCAGATTGTACACCATTAGAAAAAAACAAGCTGCAAAGCCTAAAACGTCGAGCGATGGAAGATCCTGCTATACTAAGTCTAGCTCTAAATGGATAGTCAAAATTATAATATATTTGTTTCAAGTTTTATAATTTTATAAAAAAAAACATGATCAGTACAATAATTTAAATGTATCTGCGCTGTAGAACTAAAAATTAAATTATTTTTGTTTTATGACGTGTTTTTTGTTTAGTTGGAGTCATCGATTAGTGTGCCTTTTTTGTTGTTGTAAGGTGTCAAATCAATGACGTTTTTTTTGCAATAAGCCAGCCTTTAATTTAGGTATAATGAACCTGTATATATATTTTTAAGTATTAATGTTAGAAAATAGTATCATCGATTATTGGTGTAGTTACCATGAAAATTTCTAGACGATTGGAGTTTTTTTGGTTGAACTATTACTGTACTATTTATATTTAAATATTTACTGTTATTGGCCGCATACACACATGATTCCATATTGCCAATTGAAAGTAGGTCTTTGTAAAGTTTTGAATAATTATAGCATTGTAGAAAGTTTGTACTTAAGACTCCAGGTGCAATACTACAAATGTCGAAACCACAGACCACATACTATTATTTGGGCTTAAGTATCTCATGGCATTTTATCCGAATGTTGCGTGACAGAATACCCTATAGTCCAAAATAAAAACAATAATAGGTTATTATTCTTAGTGGGATAGGTCCCACTACAGGTAAGTTTTTGTTCTTTGAGTCCAAATCTGTAATTGATTCAGAACACATTTATTTTGTTTTAGTTGTTGTGGCTGTAGACAACTTTCCAGAATTTCGTTTACATTTCCTTACTCGAAGGGCTTAATTTAAGGTCGTTGACACAGATTATAAAACCTGTTAAAGGATCAGACTAAATGATCGAGCTTTTTTAATATCTGTTCTTTATTCAGTTTGTTCTAATTTGAAACCTTTATACTATGGAATGTAGTTGAGTATTAAATATGTAAATAGGTCTTGCTAAATTGGTAATTATAAGGGCGATCTTACAACTCGCTGCTTTTCAAACACAGTAGCTCAAACCAAAATAGTTCATATTTGTCTATAGAACACAATTGCATTCAGAATGTGCTAAATTTTATTGCAAAAAAAAACACTGAGCTTTTTATTGGTCAAAATCATCAAAATAAACACGTGACAACATAGACCGGTGCATGATTCGTCGACTTTGCGTGTTAGATATGCCTTTGTTGTTTTTAAATTATATTCCTGATGAATTAAGTTGATTTTGAGATAGGCCGCGGTTCTAGAAAGCCATCGAATTGTACCGCAAAATTGGTATCGAATTAGACTGGTATTTCAATTCGTAATAACCGAAATCAAAGTTCATTCAATAACATAGGTGCTCTAATATTAATTAATAACACAGAACTCTGAATAATAGACAATTACTGAAGCCGAATATTATGACAATATTCCACGAATTGTAAAATAAATTTATATCAGCAGAGTAGTACTTAAAAGAAAGTCATGTTTAACTTCTTACGATCGATCTGAGAAAGGATTTGCATCAATTAACGTAAATCCCACAACTGATTTCTAAAACTATTGTTCGTCTACGTAACGTCTTCCACATTATGATACCAATATCTAAATACTATGTTATTTCATTGTTTAATTAAGCGTTCTTCTCCAAAAACCACGCATTGTATGAAAAATAAGCAAGAGTAAAACGAGTAGAAGTTGTAAACACTGCTTTCTTTTAATCCGGACTTGGCATTTATTTGTATGCGGTCCGTTACTTCGACCTCCTCATAGACTGGTTTGAGAAATGCACCCCGCGGGGACGGCTCTACAGTTTGTACCTTACCCGTAACCTATCGGAACACATTGCCACCGACAGTCGCACTTGGAGCACTACTTGCACTACTTTCTTTAACAGTGAGTAAGTTTCATTTAAAAATATTAGAAAGTGAACCGTGAAAGTTTTGTGCCAATGTCGCGTGTTGTTTAGATAATTTTGTGTATTCTAGGTGTATTTTCTGTTAAAACTGGTTACTTGTAAAAATTTCAAATAGTTTTTGTATTTTGTTTTCCAAATTCTTAACTTAACAATATTATTTCAGCAGGAAGTACTTAACACTATAAAGCACAGTTACAGAGGACTCCATAAATATGATTTTTTACATACATCAAAAAAGTTGAAGTTACTAAATGCTTCAAAATTTCTATCCTTTTAGTTTTCTAAAATTCCCTTGATATTATTATTAGAGTTTGAAAAGGTGTCTTTTAAAGTTACATAGTCACCATTGCAGTTCATTATAATATATTATGTTAATTACTTAAACGTGAAATATTTCAAACTTTTAAGATTAAAACACAATAAGCTTCACCTTGAATTTTTGTCATAATGTAGGTATTTATTTTCCTCCATATCGCAAATGTCTATAGGCGGTAATCGTTACCAATACCACTTTCCAATTGGTGGGCCGTCTGACGTCGGTGCGCGTAGAAAGCATAAAAAAACAAGTGCGCATATTTTAAGGACAAAGACAAAATATACTACTTTAGGTTTGTTGTTATTGTCTTGTTGGACATTACATCTTTATTGATTATACATTATTCTACCTTTCTCATATTTATGATACTCATTGCACCATGTGGTAAATTATGTTTTCACACAGTTTCTTCTCCCAGAGGTTATTATCTAAGCAATGCGTTCTTGGAAATCTCAACATTTATTTATAAGTAACCATCTATTTAACATATTACGTGGAAATGATCCTCAGCATAGTAATTAATAACATGATGAATAACTATGATTGCTGACGTTCGCGCTGTGAGTTATTCCAGTAGGTACATTGATAAATTCAATATATTTACGTAATTAATTCAATTAATCAGATTACCATAGATTTTTATTTGAGTTTGAATGTACTGTTGAATGAATTTTAGATGAAAATGAAACTATTTTTTTCATGAAAATGAATGAACGAAAGAATGAAAATGATTGATTGACCATGTAGAAATCTTATTGATGATTCGTTAATCCACAAAGTTTCTAATTATTTGAGAAAACTTGTGTTGTTTTGTGGACGAGTGACACCAATTATTTTTTTCAGCATTAGCCGAATGGTAGCCGAATGGTTAGATCTACCGCCTCTCAAGCAGAGATCGTGGGTTAGAATCCGGGCTCGCACCTATGAGTTTCTCGGAATTTATGTGCGAAATATAATTTGAAGTTTACCATGAGCTTTTCGATGAAGGAAAATGTCGTGATGAAACTTGCAAGTCGAAGAAGGTTCACAGCCCTCGGAAAAAGTACGAAGTTTCCACATGCATTAGGCCAGCGTGGCAGACTATAGCAAAATCCTGAGAGGAGATTCGTGCCCAGTAGTGGGATGTATAAATGAGGTGATGATGATGGAAAGTGTGTTTGTGGACTAACTTTCTCTAACCACTTTCTTGTTGGTTACCAGGATCCCAGTAACATGAGAAGTTGGTTGTTAATGGCATGTGTGCTGACGGTGGTGGTGGCCTGCATCGCGCAACGTCGTCAGTATCAAAACGTCGCCAACAAATATGACAATTTCAACGCCGATTCCATTATACAAAACGAGAGAATCCTGCTTGCCTATTACAAGTGTGTCATGGATAAGGGACCTTGTACTAAGGACGGGAAGAACTTTAAACGTAAGTATAACCCACGTAGTATATTAGTTATTTAATGCCGTAAGCAAACATGTCACAGACTTAACAGTTAAGTTCGCCAAATTTTTTTATACTGGAAGAGCCGCTCAAAAAATTACGAAAGTGTTTTAATTTTTTGACGTATTTGGACTTACTCATAAACCCAGAACTACTGTGTATGTCCGAATGAACAGCATGTGTGTGAAATCGCTCTTTACTTCAATAAAGTGTTCTTTGGTTTGACCACGTAAAATTAGGCAGGACTCTGTCAGTATAGGTTGCTCCGGATAGGCTTTTCCGGAGGACACGTTCCGTCAAACTAGATTTTGTGTTTGATATGGAGGGTAAATTCACAGAGTTGCGAAATATGAGGAATTTTTGAGTGTGTAAAACATTGTTCATGGAGTGTGTTCAGACGTTGATACGTTGATCCTGATGGATCAAGTTGGTTTGCATACATTTAATTAATATTGGGTGGTTTCAATCCGTTTTGTCGGAGCCAAGTAAATATGTACACCGCAAAGATTTGGTAGGTATACACGTTTGCTTAGGTAGTATTTTGCTTTATCTATTTGGATTTTATTAAGTGTTTTAATGATGATAATGATCGAAGCCCCTTAATAAATAAATAAATTATCGTATGGTATATATTATAGCTTTAATATATTCATTCCTTTAATATATTCCTTTCACAAAATCGTCCGGCAGAGGGCGTTCTATTAAACTTAAGTTTTTTTACATTTGCATGTTACATATTATGTGGTCTGTGGTTACATAGGTACCTAGAACTATAGAAATCTTTTGGATTTCATGCTATGTAAAAACATTATACATTATAATGCAGCTATTATAATGTATAATGTTTTTAAAAACGTACTGCTAACAATAATAATTAAGGCGATGCTCTCGGCCGTTTCTGCAGCTGATTTTCGTCCATCCTAGTGACGATGCATTGTACCAATCCTTGGTCTCTAAGTTTTATACTATAATACCCTCTTTTTTCTTCCAGGTATGTTACCAGAGACTCTCTCATCGGCCTGCTCCCGCTGTTCTCTGAAACAAAAGGTAGTGGTGAGAAAACTACTGCTGGGCATAAGAGCCAAGAGTGAGCCTCGATTCATTGAGCTCTTGGAGAAATATGATCCTAAACGCATTAACCGCGAAGCTTTGTACAATTTTTTGGTCACTGGCAACTAAGAAAATTTTAATCAGATCTTATTTGATTGCCTCATTGTCCTACAGCACGAAAATGACCTGCAATTATCCATTCCACGTGTCGCGATCCATTAAAAAGTTGTAGGTCACTAGAAAGCCACCGAATTTGAAATCGTTATGATTTACTTTATTTATTTATAATATGGTACAATTACAGATACACAAGTCACATTTACTTAAAATAACATGATCAGCACAACCCTTTGCGACTGCTACCAACTTACAATACACAGCTTATGCAAAGAAAAAAACATAATTATATACAGTTGATTAAAATAATATGAAGTTAGGTAACTCCCGGATGAATTATGAATGAATAATATGGAATAATTAAAATAATATAAAAAAGTAATAACGAAAAAAAATAATACGAAACTGTTATAAATTAAAATCGTTGATTACAAAAACTAATTACAAACGTCGAAGACATCTGTAAGCTTTGTGAAAATATACCAAAATCAGTACCAGTACGGATATCATTGTAGTAACGGCACATCCTGTGTAATTTGTATGTTACATTATTATATTTTGATGGTGGTATAGTGAATACTAGTGAACACGCATGTATCGACTAAATGTATTATTTTATTTATTATATTTTTGTAACTTTCTCGTACTTTCGGAATAAATCCTACTCTTTGAGGTACTTTTCTAAATGTATTTCTATCACAAGGTCTAACATGTATGCGTTGAATCGAGTATTCGAATTGGGAATCAAATTTTTTTTTGCAAATGATGATGTGTCATGAGTCATGTCATGCAAAGTAATTTGTAAAATATTAACAACCTCACAGGACTATATTACTAACATCATAAGCAACAACTTTTGTTCCATGAATTTTACAAAACATTATAAATTTACCAAAAATATACTTTTAAAGTTTTCTTGTACTATCTGATACTTTTTAGATCTATATTTGGTAGTAGATAAGGCAATAAATTCAAAGGCAAGCATTGGGTGGGACTGTAGAGAGTACAGGTGGACTGGGTATTTATGCCAGCAATTTTTATTACATGAAAGTAGAATGTGATGAATTCATTGACTTTTTAAGTCAATGGATGAATTATTAAAATTTATGGAACCAAAGTTGTTGCTTATAATGTAAGTAAGTCTATCGAGGCTATTATTTTAAAAGTAGCCCTATAATTATACTACACCACACGTCGATTATTATGGTTGCACGGTGTATACTATTTTTTCATGAAACTTGATTACGATTTCATGTGTAGATAATTAATTATCTTTAGATCTCACAAATGAAAATAGTAATATTTGTGATATTATTTACTTTTTTATTCGTTACGCAATAGTATTCAAATAAAAGATGTAAAGGATGCATTTATTATTCTATTTCCACAGCTGTAATTGACTGCAATCGAATAATTTATTTATTATTTAGCAATTAAGTAATACTAGCACGTTTGTGTTATAAAATTGGAAATACATATAAAATATTTACTTGTTGTTTTATTCCTTTGATTGACCAATTAAAACAGCAGTTAACACATGTCAAATGCAGTTAATACCGATATGGTCATCGTTGTTTAACCTTCTATTATAATCACCATAATAATTTATGGCACAAGAATAACTAAGAGTTCTCCGGAACACCATTTGAACGACTATATAAACTTAGATCAGTAATATGCTTACTATATTTTGTATTGACACCTTTGAAGAGAACACTTCCTTGTTGCAATACTGGTAAAGAATACAATATGAAAATTGCACTTCTGACCCTGTGCCTTGGTTCGGTAGTATTAGCTCAAAATACATATAATTCAGAACACGACAATTTCGATTTATCTCAAGTACTTAACAACGAAAGACTGTTAGTAGCGTACTCGCGGTGTCTGCTCAACAAGGGACCATGTACCCCAGAAATCAAGCAAGTCAAAGGTAAGTCCTAAAACAATATACAACTCTTTTTTTATACCCTGTTCTGTCACAGAGCGGACCCAAAAACCCCTCTTTTGAACCGACTTCAAAAAAAGGAGGAGGTTCTCAATGCGACTGCATGTTCTTTTTTTTATTATTTTGTATGTATGTTACGCAATAACTGTGAACCGATTTTGATGACTCTTTTTTTGTTGGAAAGAGGATACCTCAGTAGTGGTCCCATTTAAATTTGAAGAAAATATTCCACCTCTATGGGGGCAGACTAGGGGATTAATGACTTTTGAGGTCGGTTTTTTAGTACTCTTTACTGAGATTATCTTATATCGTATCGATCGTATGCGCTATAATACTTATTTGCTGATCGGCGTAAGGTACTCGTAGATTGTTGCTTAGGGTGCGTCAGACCTAGAGGAAAAAAATTGTTTGTGCTGCGGAGAGAGTACCTCATTGATCCTAGCTTTATTTCAAAATATTTATTTCAAATATGTCGAAGTAGTATAGCAATTAAAACAAAGTAAATATTAAAATAAAATATTCCATTATTCGACCAACTACATAATAGTGTCGACCTCACTCCTTTTCAAAAAGATGTAATGTTAAAATTCACTTTGAGCATTACGAAATATTTTAAAACAAACCACTCATTTCCTTTCCTGTGGGAAAAGAAGAAGAAACAGCTGTAGCTTCGTTACAAACTTTCTTGAATTCTTCAACAATATTTTTTCCGCTAGCTTTAAATACTCTTCTGACCGTTTTTTTGGTCACAAGCAGAATATATATTGATAAGTTTGAGAAAAATTACGTGATTCTTGGCAAGAGCAAGAACAAAAAGATCTGGCTGTTAACATGCTCTTGCCTAGGCATTATCGTTTCACCAGAGAACAAATAAGGAATGAGAACGGACACTCTGCGCCCCTCCCTATCTTTAGATACCGTACCGCGCTCCGCACATTGACGGTCACGTAGACTGAACGAGAATAAGGCTGTCGGTGAGCCGTTTTCGCTCGAAGACTGCTTTGATATTTGAATATAGCTTTCATTTTGTCATTACAAAATTTGTACGTTAATATATAACATAATTTTACGACACTATTTATAATGGTCGTAAATTAGCACAATGTGTACGGCTATTTATAATCATCTAAACGGGATAAAAAGAGTATCTTTCGTTTTTTGAAAGATGAAACGAAGTAAGTAAAAAAACTTACGTTTGAGACTCATTTACTAATTGTTTTCTTTAGTGCAGAGTAATATATAATACAGATTTATTATATCAATATAATAAGACGCCATAACTTCGTGAGCTAGAGAAGTGTTCTCGAATTTTCAATTTGTATTGCCGATAAAATATTACGTAGTGAATATACCTAATTATTAACTAGGTAATGATAAACTTGGACACGCAATTTCAAATACTTTGGTTACCTAATTTAAAGGTACCTGTCCAAAATATAACATTTTAAGTGCTTTTAATATATTTTTAAAACAAATGTTCAATATTATTCCAGTTAGAGAATTAATGAAAAATATAATATTATATATCGATATATAAATACGTAATGAAGATGTGTAATTATTAGGATTCTATAATAGAATTATAGACAACCAACAACAGATTGCCGCTCTGACCACGTAACGTAATAAATAGTACGAGCAAGTGATGGGTAACCCTGCCACTTCACGCACACATTTTATTGAACATTTTATTACTTTATAGAACACTCATGAAACATAAAAACTATAAAGTACTCAATCAAATAATCAATTAAACAATAATGACATAAAGTAAAAAATAAAAAACAATGTGACTAAAGTATTTAGACAATATTTAAATGAGAGATACGAAAGTTAGCAAAGGAACGTTTTGACAACAGGCCTTTTGCCAATATCAATGTCGCTTTGAGATTGATAACAGTGTAACCATTTGTGGCAGATTTCTGCCATTGGACAGAGTTAATTTTCATTCATTTTCATTGCGATAGAACATGTTCACGTTGTTTTAAATGTGGCAGAGTTTGGCAGATTTAGGAATATTCAGCAAATTCTTTATTATTTTTAGGAACAAACTGAAAACTTGCTGTTTTCTGCTACTACGAACAAACATTTGAAGCGAAATACTGGACAATGTTTTAAACATGACCTATATCAAGTTGTAACCCCCAGCATCTACAGGCTGTACTCAATTAGCTGTTTTGATGCTTTGATAATGAATCATAAGTATTGATAGGTCTCTTTTAATGTACTTTGTCAAAAACATTGGGTCGCAAAGTACACGGGATGTCGCCATCCTTCTTTCTTCTTATGGACGCTAACCCGTTTTACATTTATCCAGAAATTGTATCTTTTAGTAAAAAATTGATTGTGGATGATCAATGGCGAACACAGTTCAAGTGTCCAACGCAAACATGCAGAAGATCCTTTTCCGTTTTATTTTACAATTGCAATCGTCCTTTCTGATTTTTGGATCTGAATACAGAATCTTAACGTTTGGAACGAAGCTTATAGCATCGTTTAGAGTTAAGGAAAGTTTTAGTTTTGGTGTAGCGACCTTTTGATATTTAGTTTGATTAACATCAATTGAACTCGACAAAATATGTTTGCTTAAAATATACGTTTTCGTACTTTATACAATTTTTATTTTATGATACTTGTAATCGAATGTTTTCATAATCTGGCTTATAATAGTTTAATTGACTTTGACCGCCTGGCATATGTGAAATTACACTATACAATGATTCTTCCGGTGTGGTGTTTTTTTTTCAAATATACACTTTTGGACCATAACCCTCAGGTAAAAGTGTTGAATCACGTGATGAAACGAGTGATTTGTTCCAATGTGAAGCTATACGTGATTACCTTTAACTCGTTTTCTATCTCCAAGACCTGGGTCTTACTCGGTAGATTTATCAGATTCCCTCCTTTTAAAAATGTATTTTTCTTACGGTGTTAAAAAGGAATTCGTAAGTTCTGTCGACTCGACCTATAGCTCAGTTGGCAGAATATCGCCCTATAGGGCTAGCACGAAAAGGCGGGACTTGCGCGAGAGCGGCATAAAGCGCGAGATACTGCTATTCTCGTATAGAAATCTCGCGCAAGTCGTGCTCTATCGTGCTAGCGCTACTAGTTTGGTGTTTTCATAAGTTCGAGTCTTGTCAGGTCAAATGAATTTTTATTTGTGTTCGATATTTGTATTAATAATTGTAACAAACTAATGGAGTTAATTTGCAAAAATATATGTGGTAAAACACTTTGATATTTAATAAAATCAATGTATAACTTAACCATTTTAAACTGCCTCCGTGGCCTAATGGCTACCATGGTGGTCTGCCATGCAGAGGTTCTGGGTTCGATTCCCAGGCCGGGAGAAATAAATTTTTCGTCGCTTAGCAAACAACACGGCTTAAGGAATTTTATAGGAGCATGAAAAACCTGCTTATATTACTTATTGTATAAAAGATTTTTATAATTTTTTTTACCTATTATTAGTAATAGGTTAATTTTAACCTATTACTAACACTAGGTAAAAAAATGTTTTATACAATAATATATGCAGGTTTTTCACGCCCCTTTAACTTTACTTGATTACTTGAAATTACTTAAGCGGTGTTGTTTGCTATGCGACGATATGGCCTATATTTTTTTATTTCGTGAGTTTAGGTGTAATTTGTGATTGTCTATCCATGGCATGATGGCACCCGCAATACAGGGTTTCCCTAGAGCGGGGCTAAGAGTGTGTGTGTTATTTATTTAAAAATAACAATGTGTTACGTTTTTGCAGACAAGCTTCCAGAAGCATTGGCAACGCGTTGTGCTAAATGTACTGAGAAACAAAAGCAGTTGGGAAAAATATTGGCGCGAGAGGTACAGAGGACTCATCCGGAGATATGGAAAGAGCTAGTGGCTTACTACGATCCCGACGGCAAATACAGGGCGGCTTTTCAAGATTTTCTCAAACAATAGGCACAAAATTAAAAAAAACTAGAAATAATAATATTGTGTAACCATTTATTTGATGGAAAATCGTATTTTTAAATGTGATTCTTAACAACCACTGACGTTATATTAAAATAAATATACCCTATTAAAAACATTGTATAACTTTAACGGTACGATAATCATATCAAATAAAGCACGATACGATATCATTTCATGAAGAACAACCTTAGCTAATTTTATAAATCTTAAATTTTTATTGAATTGATATTCAATTATTTTTTTGTGAAATTACTCCACTAGTTTGTTATAATTATTAATACAAAGATCGAACACTCAGAAAAATATTTGTATTAATAATTATAACAAACTAGTGGAGTAATTTCACAAAAAAATAATTGAATATCAATTCAATAAAAATTTAATTAATCAGTGAATAGCGACATCTCTCGCCAGGACTGGTAGCTGTAAAGATACTAACTGGGTGATAAATCTGTCATAGATTTCTCATAGATGGCGCTACGACTAAAAAGTCGTTGAAAGACCGAGTACAAAGACACGACGCAAGCACATAGAAAAATTCGTGAGGTCCGT